TGGGTGGTGGGGGGGGGGGGGGAGGGGAATATCATGCACATGCCCAGCAGTCGTCTTTGTTTTTACTAATTACAACCTCTGAAGACTTTACACAAAGTTAAGACCTTCCAGCCTTCTGCAGGTTTGAGCACTGAACAGCCCGTGCACGCATCGCCTTCTGGAGCAGAGGTGTGTGAGGGAAGCAATACACAGATTCAAGTTCCCGACTCCCGACTACAGAAGGAAATTAATCCAGATTAGCTATTGTGTTCTGTAACAGCCACTCAACAGGACAGTATTCAGACACAGTAATAAATTCTCTCTGGGAATACTGTGTACTTCTAAAGCAAAGTAATAGTTCTGTAATGGAAAGAAGTAAAAAGAATGAAAGAAAAAAATCCCATGTATTTCACAACAGACCCTCCTCCACATCGGAAGCCATTCCAGAACAGCTAATTCTAATTCAAATATCCCAGTATTGGTACGACCTAAGAATGCAATGCTAAAATTGGCAGTGAAAGAGGCCAAAAATGAAAAGATTTTCTTGTACTGTGAAGCAGGTCCCAATGCTATGGCCCTAATGACCCATGCTCCCAAATAATTCACTGCAACTCCATTCATTCACAGTCCACTAATCCTACCCTAAAAGCTCCTCTTAGATACATGCCCTTAATTGTTATCTAAAAAAAAAAGGTATTTAAAAACAAGGACTCGAGGAAACAGCATCCCTGACACCCTGAGTACGTGGGGCTGGCCTTCTACCTAACCTGAGCTTGTTGGCTTTCTAACATATCATGGAATGCACGTCTGCATGTGGGCTCCTATAGAGCAGTACCGTATGGGATTTTCATCCACCTGAAACAAAGCACTTCTCTGCAGGGTTTAGCTCTTCTGGCCTTCGAGTCGATTATAGTTTCGGCAACCCTTCTGTAAATTCCAGTTTACAACCCAAGCAGCTGCTTCTTTTTGTAACTGTGGTAGCCCCCTCTGAACAACATACAAATCATAATGTCCCACAAGACGATCCAAGCGGAGAGCAGAGCCTGCAGAAGCTGCTCAGTCTGATTTGCGTTGCTGCTGAAGATCATTTGCACAGATCTGCTTTGCCAGATCTCTTTTCTAAACGGTATATTATGCAACTTGAAAGGTAACCCTACAAATGTTTTTCACAATATACAAGAATATCAGGGCAGGGAGCCTTCTGCACGTATGTAGCTCCAGCGGAGCTCATCTCCCCTAACTCAGCTGTCTAAAAAGTGAGGTATCGAGTTGCCCAAGTTCTCCATGCCAACAAACAGACTATCATCTCCACACCATCACTCT